GAAGGGGAGAGGAAGAGAGGGGGCGAAAGGGAAAGAGAAAGAATGGTGGAGGCAGAGGAAGGGAGGAGATAAAGAGGGGGAAAGGAAAAGGAGAAGAGGAGAGGGAGAGGGAGAAAGGGAAGGTGAGACAGAGGATAGGGGAGGAAAGGGGAGACAGAGAGGGGGAAAGAGAGAGAGGGAAGGGGAGAGAAAGAGAGAGGGTGAGTGAGAGAGAGGGAAAGGAATGGGAGAGGAAGAAACAGAGAGAGAGGCAGAAGCAGAGAGGGGAGAGGGAGATAGAGAGGGAGAAGGAGGATGAGAAGGTGAGGGAGAAGAAGGCGAGAGGAGGAGAGGGAGAAAGATAGATAGAGAGGAAGATGAAGAAAAAGAGGGAGGATGAGAGAGAGAGGAAGAGGAGAGAGAGAGACAGAGGGAGAGACAGAGGGAGAGAGAGTGAAGGGAGGGGGAGAAAGAGAGGGAGGGAGGGGAAAGGAATAGAGAGAGAAGGGGATTAAAAGGGGGTCAGATAGCCACTAACATTTTCTGTGATTTCCATTCATTCGTCTAAACTTTGCAAGATTCAGTCTTCTGTAGCCCATTCAATATCCACAAGGATATTCAATAACTGGATGGTTATTTTGATACACATTCAATATCCACCTGGTTATTTTTGTGTTTTGGATTTGTGTTTTGAGGCTTGCTTTATTTATGAACTGTTGTTAAAAAACCCGGGTTTAAATGGAAGGTGGGCAGCCATAGAAATTTTCTAAATGGAGTAACTTGTTCAATCTCTTTATTGATAATTCAGATAATGATTTCTCTAGCTTGGTGATTTTCTTCTCACTAACCAGCAGATCTTGTCTGATCTCTCCATATTTGACATTTTAGGAGCTTGTTCACATTCTCTAAAGAATTCGAGATTATGGTTCAAGAGGCCCACAAATATTTGCACCATCCAGATATGAGGGAAAAGACAATCGGGATGGCTTTCTTCTCAGAGGTGAGGAGACATTGTGGTGCACCTCAATATTCTTGAGGTCAAGGAAAGTTGCCCCAGGGCTCACGAGAACTTTATGGTTAGAAAAGTTGTAGGTGCTCCATCACTGGAGGTCTTGAAGAAGACGCTGGACAGCCATTTCTCTGAAATGGTACAGGTTCTCCTGCTGGAGCAAGGGATTGGACTAGAAGACCTCCAAGGTCTTCTGTAATTTTGTTAATCAGTGAAATGGCTTGCCTCCAGAAGTTGTGGGAGGAAGAAAGGACAGATGAAGGCAAGGAGGAGGAGGGAAGGGGGAAGGAAGGAAAGGGAGGGAGGGAGAGAGTGAGAGTGGGAAGAAGGAAGGAAAGAAGCAAGCAAGCAGAGGGAGGGAGGGAGGGAGGGAGAAAGACGCTGCTTGTCAGAAAATCACAAGGGGATCACATGACCCGGGGATACTGCAACCATCATAAATACGAACCAGCAAGTACCCAAATTTTGATCACATGACTGTGAGGATGCTACAATCGTCATACGTCTGAAAAATGGGCATGTCCCTTTTGTCTGTGTCATTGTGACTTTCAGCAGTCACTAAACGAGGCCTGTATTTTCTTTTTCTCTCCCCTTAATGACTGAATATGGCATCTCTTAGTGTAGGCTCTCATGAAACTTCCTTTCCTTTCCTTTGCTAATGCCCAGTATCTCTACTCTTCTTCCTCAGCTTTTCTATCACTCTGAGGTTGGAAACATTTTCATGACTTACGAGATTCTAAATGTTCTAAGCAAATGGATGATACAACTGTACCCTCTGATACAAAGATTTATTATTTGAGGTTTGGGTTACCTTCTGCAGCAGCCCTTCAAGATAAGAGATGGGGTGGAGGAAGTGAGTGACTTTCAAGATAGTAGCAGGTGTGACCTCACTCTCTTGGAAGTCTACAAGGAAGGAAGGATAGAAGAAGGAGAAGAAGACAACTACCAGAAAGAGGATGGACTCAGCTGGAGCGGTATCTCTTCTACAAAGATGGGTGCACCCCTGGAAGATCTGAAGTTGAGAACAGAACCTCTTGGAGATCTTCTGAAAGCAGAACAAGAAGCAATGGATGGAAACTAATCAAGGAGAGAACCAACCTAGAACTAGGAAGAGATTTCCTGACAGTGAGAACAATTAGTCATTGGAATGACTTGCTTCCAGAAGCTGTGGTTGCTCCAAAACTGGAGGTTTTTAAGATGAGATTGGACCAGCCATTGCTACTAGTTTTCTGAGTAGTAATGTATGGCTGTGAGAGATGGACCATAAGGAAGGCTGAGTGCCGAAGAATTGATGCTTTCAAATTGTGGTGCTGGAGAAAACTCTTGAGAGTCCTTTGGACTATAAGGAGATCCAGTCAGTCATCCCTAAAGGAAGTCAACCCTGACTCTTCTTTGGAAGGACAGATCCTAAAACTGAAGCTCAAATACTTGGCCACCTAATGAGAAGAGAGGACTCACTGGAGAAAAGACCCCAATGTTGGGAAAGACTACTGAAGGCCAAAGGAGAAGGGGGCAGCAGAGGGTGAGATGGTTTAGATGGTGTTATCAACACAGCAAACATGACCTTGGGTAAACTCTGGAGCCTGAGATGTTCTGGTCCTTGGGGTGGCAAAGAGTAGGACAAGATTTAGCAACTGAACAACAAAATCAAACATACCTTATTTCCCCGAAAATAAGACAGGGTCTTATTTTCTTTTGATCCCCAAAATAAGGGTGTGGCCTTATTATCGAGTATATGTGTGTGTGTGTGTGTCTTATTATTTTGGGGGTGCAGGAGGCATGAGCATGGGACTGGATTTCCCGTCGCTGCTGTCGCCTCCTCTTCCTGTTCTTCGCGCTGGCTAAGTGGCTGGCCGCTGCTCCCCTGGCTTGCCCTGTCATTGCCGCCGCTGCCTCCCCCTTGTGGAGCAGAACTCTGAAAGGCTTGTTGCTCCGTTGCACGCATGAACTGTAGCACTGCTGCAAGCTTCATCATACTGGCACAGCTGGCGTCCTGAAGCTCGCAACATGCAACAACATAAGCCTTGCAGAGTCCTGCTCCTTGAGGCAGCGCCGGCGGCGCAACGAGTCTCAAAAAGACTCATTCCTTGCAGGTGGCAGGTGGGGCGGGCGAGAAGCGAGACGCGCATCTTACCTTTCCAGTTCCGTCACATTCCTCGCGGCTGTGTCCAGGGAAACATGTAAAAAAACCATCTCGCAAGTTCAATCAAACTTCTTGAACTTGCGAGGTTTTTTTTACATGTTTGCCTGGACACAACGGAAAGTAACGTGACGGAGCTGCAAGTCTCCGATAAGACGTGCATCTCATGATGGGGGTGGCAGATGGGGCCGAGCCACAAGACACACGTTTTACCGGAGACTGACAACTCCGTTGCGTCTCTCGTCCGGTCTCTGCTGGGAAACACCTTGCATGGTAAATTGTTCTTGCGAGTGCAAACAATTAAAAACTTCTCGAACTCATGAGAAATTATTCTTTACCATTGAAGGTGTTTCCCAGCACAGACTGGCTGAGAGACGTGACGGAGCTGTCAATCTCTGGTAAGATGTGTGTCTTGCGATGGGGTTCAACTCGGCGGTGGCAGGTGGGGTGGGGGATGGGGCGGGCCACAAGACATAAACCCTGGCTGGAAGCCGCTGGAAGCAGAGAAGAGGCTGCTCGGGCCAGCCACCTACTGCTGTGTTTTTTGGCAGCCGAGGCAGAGAGGCAGCAAAGGGAGCTGCAGCCGCTCATGGAGCTGGAACCATAGAGTGGGAAACGTGTTCCAAGAGCAGCTGCTACCAGAAGACTCTCTGCCCTGGCTCCTGGAAGACTTGGCAGCAGGCAGCAGGTGGCTGGCCTGACCAGCCTCTTACTGCTCAGTTGGTAAGTTGTGCTCTGCCCAGCCGGAGGGGGGGGGTGTTTCTCCGCTGGGTGGGCACTACGTGGCAAGAGGTGCTGGGCACTGCTCTCTTGCGAGTGGGGCAGGAGTTTTCAGGCAAGGGGGGGATGGATGGATGGGAGGGGGCGAGCTCCAAGAATACTGGGGAGAAATAGAACAGAGGCAGCTCCCGATCAGCTCAGCTGATCCCTGGGTCGTGATTAAGGGACCCAGCTGCCAATAGCTGACCGGGAAGGGAAGAGCTGCCTCATGTGCTGCCCACGCCCACCCCTTCACTAGGGCTTATTTTGGGGGGGGAGGAGGTATATTTACGCCCACCCCAAAAATCAGGCTTGGCTTTATTTTCAGAACATGTTGTATTTTCAGGGAAACATGGTAGCTATTTATTTTTGAATAATCTTTTCAAAAGTCAAGTGAGATAAGGAGCTGATGGACACAAAAGAAGACCAATTGTACCCAGAGACATCACACTGCCTGCATTTGTCCAACCAAGGACTAATTTTGTTCCTTGCAGCAACCGTAACTGAATTCCTGTATATCTGCAATAAAAACAGACAGGTTCATCTCCTGAAGACTGAACAGAGGGAGGGAGAGATGCTGTATTTCATGCCTCAAAAAAGGTCCTTAGATGTTCCTCAAAGTATCTTCAGAAGAAGCCTGGTTCTTCTGGTTGAAATCTACTTATGCGTCTACAATGAGCAGAAATTACTCCAGTCCGTCAACGTGAGGTCTCCCCAGCTATTGCATTCCTATGGCTTTGAAGCTAGAATAGAATAGAACTGGAAGAGACCTTAGAGGTCTTTCAGTCCAGCCCCCTGCTCAAGCAGGAAAACCTATGCTATTTCAGATAAGTGACTGTGTAGTCTCTTTTGGAAAATCTCCAGTGATGGGAGTGTTTTGCTTCAAGTGAAAATATCTCTTCTAACTTCTGGGAAGAGGAAGCAACTGAGCTGATCTAAAAAACCATCCAGCTTCTTCATTTCCAGGTTTTTCATGGGGAACGTCCACCTGGGATGCTGGCTGTTATGGTTATTTTTATTTATGCATCTTATCCAGATTTCTCATAATTACAAGCAACCCCAAAGAATGTACAAAGAATTGTATGTTACAGGAATTGGGAATGTCTAGAAAAGAAGGAGTAGGGGTGCTGATAAAACCTGTTCCAATATTTGAGGGGCTCCTAGAAAGATGAGAGGGTCAAATTGTTTTCCAAAACACCAAAAGGCAAGAGAAGAAACAATGGATGGAAACTAATCAAGGCAACAAGCATCCGGGAACTAAAGAGAAATGTCCTAATGGTGAGAGCAATCAGGCAACGGAACAATTTGCCTTCAAAAGTTGTGGGTGCGCCATCACTACAAGTTTTCAAAAAGAGTCTTGAAAATCATTATCTGGAGTAGTATAGCGTCTCCTGCTTGAGAAGGGGTTGAACCAGAAGACCTCCAAGGTCCCTTCCAACTCTATTAATCCATGTTCTACGTTCTAAGTGCATATGTTTATGTGCTTGAAATGGGGCATATTATGGTATGTTTAACTGTGTAAGCTGAAGTGTTTCCCTTCGGTTTACTTTAGCTGGAGGCAAACCATATGATGAACAATTGGGGTACTAGGTAGTTCTAGTCTAACAAAAAAAAAAAGGGGGGGGGGAGGTAGGATGACATGCGTCTTTTAATATTTGAGGGCTGCTCCAAAGAAAAAGGGGTCCACCTATTCTCCAAAGCCATTTGTCCAGAATAGTATAGGGCCGTGATGGTGAACCTATGGCATGTGTGCCATAGGAGGCATGTAGAGCCCTCTTTGTGGGCATGCGCACCATCACCAGCTGTTCTTCAGGTTTCTAGAGTGTGCATGCTTGCCAGACAGTTAGTCTTCGCATGCGCTGGAGCACCGAAAACCCGAATACCAGCTGGCTGGTGCGCAGGCTGGTGCGCCTGTGCACCAACCAGCTGATCTTTAGGTTTGAAGTCTGATCATGTGCACGCACGTTCCAGTTTGGGCACTCGGTGCCAAAAAGGTTTGCCAACACTGGTATAGGGTCTCCTGCTTGAGCAGCAAGTCAGACTAGAAGATCACTAAGTTCCTTTTCAAGCCTGTTATTCTATGTTCTGTGGCTTTCTATGTGTTTGTCATTCTCATTACTAGACCCAGAGAACTCCAGTGACCTTGTTTAATTGCTTGTTTCTTTCCCTGCTTCCTCCAGGATAAGAATTTAAAGCTGCTTTTAATGCCTTTGATAAACTGTGCTAGTCAACTAGATAAGACTGGTGTGAAAGAATCTCTGAGGACACTTCATTTCATGTTCCAACAGTTGGATGTCGAGAAATATGGATACAAGGCAGTCAAATTTATTCCACTGCTGCTAAAATATTTTCCTGACATGTCAAACAAATCACGACAACTGGTTCTCTCTCTCTCTCATCTGCAGAATTCTAATTTTAACAAAAATGCTTTGAAATAGTTCAACAACAACTGTGTTATGGTAATATAAAATAGTGTGTAAGCTTCTAGATGATCCTTGAGTGGTTCTAGAGAGCTGGAGAAGTGCCAGATGAGGTGGAAGAGAATGAAGGTTGCCACTCTCTTCAGCTCCACCAAACCACACATCAGTCTAGATAATCTAGAATATCATGCACCATATCGAGAAAAAACCCAATCACGCTCCATATCTATTAGATTGGTGTTGCTTTTTCTCAGATGTTTTAAGATGGGTGGACTTCAACTCTGCTGGCTGGAGAACTCCAGGAGTTGAAATCCCCACATCTTAAAGCTGCTAAGATTGAAAAACAGCACCCTAGATCATACCATAAAGGTTGATCTGCAAGCATTTTACCACAATTGCCAACAAGTAGAATGGAATTGTCAAGATAAGCAATTGCCAAACTACTCTTACTTTTTTTCTTGAGGGGGTAACTGAGGCAGATCAGATTAAGATGATGGAAGTTATGAATGCTTTTATTATAGGGTTAATGGAACCCTCCCTGCCTTTATCTTTAAGAAAACAAAGGAGAATGTTTTCTCACATTAAATTTCTGCCCTGGTCTCAGATTTTGTTTAGCTGACTGTCATGTAGATTGCAGTCTGTCCTTGTAGGTTCTCACAACACATCACACTTCCTTAATAGAAAATCAGTTTGGTGTGGAGGTTAAAGACTAAAACCCTGAAAGCATAAATCCTAGTTTTCATTAGGTTTGATGGCAGTTGGGTGACCTTAGTCAGTCACACACTCTCTCTGTCCTAGGAAGCAAAAAATGACAAACCAGTTCCAAAATATTCCTGGCCCAAAAAAACCCCCAAAACCCTGTGGACGCTATTGCAGGCAGTTGCCAGAAGTCCAAAGTACCAAAGCAAACAAATAAAAAATCCCCCAAAATGTCCATAATAGATTGTGGGAATGTGGTAGACATAATATATCTTCATTTCAGCAAAGCGTTTGACAAAGCACCCAATGATGTGCGGATTATCAAGCTAGCTAAATGAAGACTGGACAGTATTATAATTAAACAGACATGTTTAAGGAGATTCTCAGTCATCCAGGTGATGGTTGTCCCAAAGGTGCTTTTCCCATAAGGCAACTGGACTTTCTTAGTGTTTTCTTTGAAAACATTTTGCTTTTCATCCAAGAAGCTTGAATGAAGTTTTGAAATGAAGAAGCTTCTTGAGTGAAAAACAGAACATTTTTAACGGAAAAAAGAAAACAAAAAAGTCCCATTGCTTTTTGGCACCTTTGGCAAACCACGATGTGGATGTTTGAGAATCACTAGACTTTTAACCAAGTGGACATGACAGTAGTTTGTAAATACCGGAAAGAGGTCATTTGAGCCGTGCTCTCCTCAATTTGTGGGACACAAAACAATAGAGTTAAGTTATAGGAGGATAGAAAAGAAAGCAAGACCAGGGGTGTTTATGGAGGAGAGTGTACCACCGTTGGGTGGCCTCGAAGATCTTCCTAAATTCAAAGTTCAGCATTGAGCTATATAGATTTTCTGCTATTGGAGTGACAAACCTGTTTCTCTTCCTTCTTAGGAAGACCCTGAACTGCAACATATGGCCATGAACATTTTTGGGATGCTACTGAAAAGGGCGAAGAAGGTTCATAGGAGTTATATAAAAGAAAATATTCCGCAGAGCCTTGTTCCACTAAGAATTCTGCTAGCAGATGGACGGAACGAAGCAGTGAGTTGGACTGGGTAACCTGACTCCTGGTCTGTTCATGCTTTCTTAATACCACTTGTACTCCGTCTTCACTCAGAGCAATGTGAATAAAAGAATGCAGAAAAGACAAGAGAATTATGGAGAGGACTATTTTACCGTCTCCAGAGGCACCTCTAAGGCAGAAACAGTCAACAGTCAAGCTAGCCTCTCCTTCTCCAAGAAGGTCCATGTCACCGTCCTGATTGAGGGATCACCTTGCCATATGGAGGTGGATACAGGGTCGTAAATGACCATCGTCTCTTGGGGTACATTAAGGGGATTGGTGCCTAAAATCTCAAAAAGGCAGTTGGACTTCCCCCATATTCATCTCCGAGACTACCAGGGGAACAGCATCGTCGGCACTGGCACTTTTAGAGTATCTTTTAAGTCCTTTTTAGGCCCACTGCGATTGCTCGTAGTGGACAGCTCCTTACTGCAATATATCTCCATTACTTTTGGGACAATATTGAAAAGGGTGGAGGAGCTTCATGGAAGTTACGTGAGAGAAAACATCCCGCAGAGCCTTGTTGTGCTATTAATTTTGCTGGCAAATGGTCGGAGCAAAGAAGTGAGTTCAAGGATTGGGTAACCTAAGCTCCTGGTCTGTACATGCTACCTTCTTAAGGAGACCACTTGTACTCTGTGTTCACACAGAGCCATGTGGTTGTATCATGTGGACACTCTGGATAATCCAGAGAGATTCTGGACAATCCTGAAGTTGTGAGGTCCTTGGTGCTCTCTGAACTTGGTTGTTTTCTTGCAGACCTTTCATAACCCAGCGAGGTGACAGCATCAGTACATGGGAGGGGAGGGTTTGATCTCTGCTTAATGCCCCATCATGGATCCCCAATCATGGATGGAAACTAATCAAGGAGAAAAGCAACCTGGAACTAAGGAGAATTTCCTGATAGCGAGAACAATTGCCTCCAGAAGAATGACTTGCCTCCAGAAGTTGTGAATGCTCCAACATTGGAGATTTTCAAGAAGAGACTAAACAGCCATTTGTGCAGAAGAGTATAGGATCTCCCACTTCAGCAGCAGATTGGACTAGAAGATCACTAATTTCCTTTTCAATCCTGTTATTCTATTTTCTGTGGGTTCCTATGTGTTTGTCATTCTCGCTACTAGATCCAGAGAACTCCAGTGACCTTGTTTCATTGCTTGTTTCTTTCCCTGCTTCCTCCAGGATAAGAATTTAAAACCGCTTTTAATGCCTTTGATAAACTGTGCTAGTCAATTAGACAAGACTCCTAGAGAGGCTCTGGAGGCTGGGGACAGCAAAAAAGGTCATTTCCTGTCCCACCGGGAGTTGGAAAATGGGCCCTTTCAGGCCTCCGAGGGAGTGAGAAAGCCTGTTTTCGTCCTTCCCAGATGCATAGAGAGGGTCTGGAGCCAGGTAAGAAAGAAAAATGGGCCTACCTGGCCATCGGATGCCAGGAGCAAGTGGGGGGGGGAAGGGGGGTTGCGCGTGCATACACAGGGCAGGGCGCATAGAATTATGGGTGTGGGCACATGCGCGCGCGAACCTCCCCCCCCCTCCTGGCACGCGATGGCAAAAAGGTTCGCCATCACTGGTATAGGGTCTTCTGCTTGAGCAGGAGGTTGGACTAGAATATCACTAAGTTCCTTTTCAAGCCTGTTATTCTATGTTCTGTGGCTTTCTATGTGTTTGTCATTCTCGCTACTAGACCCAGAGAACTCCAGTGACCTTGTTTAATTGCTTGTTTCTTTCCCTGCTTCCTCCAGGATAAGAATTTAAAACCGCTTTTAATGCCTTTTTTAAACTGTGCTAGTCAACTAGACAAGACTGGTGTGAAAGAATCGTTGAGGACACTTCAGTTCATGTTCCGACACTTGGATGTTGAGGAATATGTACTCAAACCTATTCCGTTGCTCTTGAAGTATTTTGATCACGTGACTATGAGGATATTTCAAGGGTCATAAGTGTGAAAAATGATCATAACTCAGTTTGTACTGCTTTAACTTCATCACTAAATGAATGGCTGTAAATTGGGGACAACCTGATACTTAACCCAGATAGTCCTCAACATACGACCAGAATGGAGCCCAACATTTCTGTTCCTAAGTGAGATATTTGTTAAGTGAGTTTTGCCCCATTTTACGACATTTCTGGCCACAGTAAATGAATCACTGCAGTTGTTAAATTAGTCAAACAGTCATTAAGCGAATCCGGCTTCCCCATTGTCTTGGCTTGTCAGAAAGTCATAAAACTTGATCGCATGACTCCGGGACACTGCAACCACTGTAAATATGAATCAGTGATCAAGCATCTGAATTTTGATTGTGTGACACCAGGAATGCTGTGGAAAACAGCCTAAGTCATTCTTTTTCACTGCCGTTGTAACAGTCACTAAATTAACTGTTGTAAGTCGAGGACTACCTTACTCCATGCCGGGCCTGGGTTTCCTTTTCTTTTCATTATCCACTTTCTGCCACGTTTTTCCAAATTCTTCCAGCAGATGGTGGCATAATCTTACAAATCTTCCCTCAGACAAGTTCTGTAAAAAAAAAATTAGTACTAAGAATTTGATTTTGCGATTTTGGAATTTCCAGATATATATGGTATTCATTTACTTCGGCTCGTAAGCTTCCAATCATCACCAATTGAAAACGGTTTACCGCTAATCCTCAACTGTTTAATGACTACTCAAAGTTACAAGGACACTGAAAAAGGGATTTAGGACTAGTTTTCACACAGTGGCGCAGTGGTTAGAGTGCAGTACTGCAGGCTACTTCTGCTGACTGCCGGCTGCCTGCAATTTGGCAGTTCGAATCTTACCAGGCTCAAGATTGACTCAGCCTTCCATCCTTCCGAGGTCAGTAAAATGAGGACTCATTATTGGGGGGAAGAGGCTGACTCTGTAAACCGCTTAGAGAGGGCTTTAAAAGCACTGTGAAGCAGCATGTAAGTCTAAGTGCTATTGCTAAGTTCTGTCTGTCTATCATCCACCCATCCATCCATATATCATCATCATCATCATCTCTCTCTCTCTCTCTTTCCTTCCCTCCCCCCTCTCTTAATGTTTCCACTCTGAAAAGTCATCATACTTTTAAGGATTTGAATAGTTTTCAAGAATTCTTGCAAAAATGATACAATAACCCTCTCTGGAGCAAGAAAAGCCAGAAAATAATAGCCAAGGACCATCAAGCTTCTCAGCTGGACCTTGGAAACTGGCAGCTAAGATTGTAAAGCAAACACTCAATACTTGCCCCCCACCCCCTTCTTGCAAGGCATCATGCTTCTGGAATTAGGAATTGAGGGGTTGTTCAGATAAGTTCCAAAGCTGTGTGGAGTGCACTGTATATACCCACACAGGAAGTCCTGAAAAGCATCTATTTTCTTCAAGACTTACAGTACATTAAGCTGGTCTTACCTGTCTGCCCTCCAGTGAGTGGCAGTCAGTCTGGAGCTGATCGATCCAGCGTAGGCATTTCTCAAGAAGGACTTCTACTGCGTGGTCCTTTCCCGCAAATTCCAGGGCCGTAAGTGAAATCCTACAGAGAAAGTTAGCTAGCTTGGAACACAGGCATCTGATAAAGAGTGCTAAAACAGGTATCATAGTATCATCATGCAAATTTACTGCTTACATAGGAGCTTGTGGAGTCAACCTGCGAATTTCACCCACTCTTGCCCCTCTCATGGACTGGGAATTGAGAATTATTTAGCCCTCTGCAAGGTTTCTGTTCTGTTGTCAGCAGAGCTAGCTGAGATTTCAAAAGGCAGAGGGAAGCCGGCAGGGAGGGGAGAGGTCTGCTTTGCCCAGAAGTCCAGTAGCTCCGTTCAAGTGGGGGGCAAAGCAGGGTATTTAGGCACCTGGTAGGGCAGGATATTGGGGGGGGGCATAGGGGGGGGAGATAGATGGGTGGGCGTGCTACAGCGTCTCTGCAGTTGGTCCTAAGGGCGAATGATGGTCAGCTCTGTAGAATTTGTAACTTTGCAACAGGCTTGTATGTGGCTTGGGGAGGGAGGGGTGTTTGTAACTTCAAATTGCTATTAAGTGACCTATCATACTTTGAGGAATACCTGTGAAATTTGGCACACTTCATCTTTCAATACTGAATTACATTTAAAAAACATCATTTAGATCAAACCATGATACCGTGGAAATAAGAAAACAAAACTAATGACATTAGGCCAAAAACATTTGCACTAATTTCAGTTAAATTTGTTATACCTGCTTTTTTATCCATCTATGTCTAGAGCAGGGGTCCTCAAACTTTTTAAACAGTGGGCCAATTCACGGTCCCTCAGACTACTGGGGGGCCGGATCGGCTGGGTGGTCATGGCTAGGTGGTCATGTGACTGGGTGGGCATGGCCAATTTAGCAATCCATTTTGCCAATTTAGCAGTCCATTAAACAGTACACACAAATTAAACTTTAATTTGTTTTGCTCCTGGGGGTGTTTTATTTGCTTTTGTTTGCATGTTGCTCTTTTGGATGACTTCTTTTACTAGATCATTTTTTAAATTGTTTTAGGAGTCTAGTGGTCCACTTCAGGAAATTCTGTTTTGCAGCAATACAGCCATGTATATAAGATGGGAGGCCTATAAATTGATTAAACAAATAAATATTTTCCATGCACATACCGTTGGAAATCCATTATTATATTCCAATATAATATGCAAGGAATCTTTGTCATGCAGTATTTTTTTTCCTGAAATGGTCGTCTTTAAAACAAGAGAAATATTAAATACCTACTACCAACCCGTCCTATGAATTTGTCTCCAGACTTTGCTTGATGTTCCAGAGAGTTGTATGGATGAAGCTTCATGAGGCTGGAGATGCACAAATCCAGGACCCCAAGTTCCCTTTCCTTATGTAAACTCTCGTAAGTTCTAGCAGAAAAAAAACAAGTTTGTCTGTTAGTTTGGAATCATATGCATTTAGGAAGAAAGGTATCTGGTAAAGAATGATAAAACAGGCATCACAGTATCATCAGGCAAATTTGCTGCTGATGGAGGAGCTTGCGGGGTCAACCTGCGTATTTTACCTCTTGCCCCTCTCACGCACTTCCAAGTTTGGGAATCAAGCAGAATTATTTAGCCCTCTGTATCAGGGGTGGGTTCTACTTACCTTTACTATCGGTTTGCAATGGGATTGCGCGCTCGTGTTTAGTTCAGGCATGCTTCTGCGCATGCACAGAAACTTCCTCACGACATCCGGGTCTGTGGGCGGAGCCTCCCACCGGTTTTATTACCGGTTCTTGCGAACCAGTCCGAACCAGGGGCAACTCACTCAGGGGAACTCTGTATGGTTCCTGTTCATGGCTTTTGGGGAGTGTCTTTGTTACTTCGTACTGCCATTAAGTGACCTGTCGTACCTTGAACACTACCTGTACTATGAAATTTGGCACAGTCCATCATTCAACAGTGAATTGTATTTTTTTTAAAACAACCATTTAGATGAAACAAAGATACCGTGGAACTAAGAAAACAAAACTAATGATATTAGGTCAAAAACCTTTGCACTAATTTCAATTAAATTTGTTATATCTGCTTTTTTATCCATCTAGGTCTTCTGTACATTTCTTCTGGTTTCCATTTTAAAAAAGCTAAGATGTTGCTATTATTCTTTAAATATTATTCTGTAAATAAAAAGTTACACATATTTATTGCATTTTCAAATGTGTATTCACTGAGTTATATTCAAACCTCTATTTACTGCAGGTCCCTTTTACTTCTTCCTATTGTTCTTTATTTCTTATTCTTTTCATAAGTACAAATTAGATATTGCTTCAAGCTTTGCACATTAATACAGCATCATTAAACATTTTTGAAAAGCACAGAAATATGAAAGAAATGCCCACCAAAAAAGAGTGATAGTCTTCATTGCATTTTGGCAGTTTATTGTCTCACGGTGGCAAGTTGGTGTCTCCCTTAGAATGTTCTATATAAGAGAAAGATTAATTAGGAAAGCAATTAAATTCAATAGCATCTAGACTTAAGTATACATGACAGTAATCTCTGCAACGAATAAAACTCCCCATTAATTTCTAATTCATTCCTATGAAAAGTATACATAAATTGGTGGAAGGGAAGTGGAAATATTTTGTTAGATTCTCCCTTCTCATTCTCAAAGGGTTGCATTGGGCAGGAAAGAAGCAAGCTATTTCACTGGATCAGCAAATCAATCTATTCGGGAAACTTTCTTAGAAGGCTCTGAAAAGCCAGGATATGAAACCATCCTATGTATAAATCACAAGCAACGGTTTGAGAGATGCAGCCTTCCCTATTGGACTTACAGATCCTTAACAGAATTTCCTTTAATCTGGTGGTTTCCATATGGGCGAGTTTCAACTTGGCAGAATTCTCAGCATGAACTCGACACAAATTGCCATATTTAAAAACCCCTGGTTTGTAGAACACCTCCCTGAGGTGTATTTGGCCCTTCCTTCCACCGTATTAAGGAAAGCAGTAAAAACATCTCTTTTGGCAGGTTTTGATTGGTCAACCAGTTTAAGAAACAAGCATAACTGTAACGATTTTGTTTCCTGGCACTTCATTTTGAATTGATGTCAGCCATCACAAACTTTGGAATGCAAAGAAAGGGGAATATAAATTCAGTAATTAATAAACTACCGAACTGGAACATGGAGTTGATGGCATGGCGGACTTCAGAGTATAGATGTTTGCTTCTTTCTTAAAGAGAGAGAGAATAAAGAAGGAAATACCTAGAACAGGGGCATCTCTTTCTGTAGGACCGTGATGGCGAACCTATGGCACAGTAGCCATATCAGTGCTCAGCTCTGGGGCGCATGCGCCTGCCGGCCAGCTGATTTTCGGGCCTTCTGGGCCCACCAGAAGTAGGGAAACAGGCTGTTTCCTGCCTCTGGGTGGGTGGGTGGGTGGGGAAGGCCCGTTTTTCTTTCTTACCTGGCTCCAGATCTTCTCTCTGCATCCGCGAAGGGCGAAAACAGCCTTTCCCAACTCCCTCCGAGGCTCTCCAAAGGCCTGAAAGGGCCCATTTCCCAACTGCCGGTGGGACAGGAAGTGACGTTTTTTTGCTGTTTTCCCCAGCCTCCAAAGACTCCTAGAGAGGCCTCTAGAGGATGGGGGACAGCCAAAAACATCACTTCCTGTCCCACCGGCAGTTGGGAAATGGGCCCTTTCAGGCCTCCCAGGGAGTGGGAAAGGTTGTTTTCGCCCTCCGCAGGTGCCTAGAGAGGATCTGGAGCCAGGTAAGAAACAAAAATGGGCCTACCTGGCCATCGCATGCGGGGGGGGGGGGGGTTGTGCGCGCATGCGCAGGGCGCATAAAATTATGGGTGTGGGCACGCGCGCGAACCTCCCCACGCCCCCCTCCTCTCCTGGCACGCGATGGCAAAAAGGTTAGCCATCATTGATACTAGCACTTAATTTTGTGGGTAAAATCCTGCTTTTTTTCCCCATGCTTAAAATTCTGTTTTCAAGGAAAACACTTGGAGAAGCGTGCCTTGCCTGCAAAACGACGGCTGAGCCTGTTCTTCCTTTGTAAAAGCAAAAGACCTGTGGATAAATGGCAAACCCATTTACAAAAAAACAAAGTTCTGGAGTAAGATCTTCGTTTAATCTAGAACGATTAGATTACCAAGATTTTTTTGTTCTTTACTCCAAAAGCTTGGAATAGCTTTTCAACAGCCACTGACTGATGAAACTTAAGCAAAGGAAGGAGAAACAAGATTCCAAAAAGAATAATATAAAAACCAGAATTCAAAAAGAATAAATAAAAAAGAAACAGATTCCAAAAAGAATAAATAAAAAAGGCCAAGGCATCATCTAAAAAAAAAAAGAAAAAAAAACTATCTAAATAACGCTTTGGAGATCCATTTTGTTTGCCAGGCTGGTAAAAATTCATTCCCAGCTTGGCTTTTGTGAAGGAAACGTCCCCGCTTTTTTTTTATTTACTCAGCTGAGACATTTCAATGGCCAAGTGAGGGAAGAAAAAAAATATTATGCCATTTATATGTCTGCCTGAACGTTCTCGGACATTTTGTGTGGTAAATCAACGGAGGTTTTGTCAAATGGGCTGCGAGGCTTCCCTCATTCTTCCCCTCTAAGTCCTTCGCCTGTCAGGCGCTAATAAAGATCCCCTCAGAGCAACTGTCGCTTCTTCCACTTCGTTCTCTTCCTATAGGTGGCGCCACCTGGCGGTTAACGGCTGGCGGTTGAGTGCGCATGCGCCTCTATTTTTCCCGCTCATTTTTTTCCCGCCTTTTTGTCGCTGAGGGGAAAGAGGCAGGTGAAAGGCGAGGCAGTGGCGATGGGGTTCTGTGGGGCTGAGCGAGGGGCTCCCCAACCCCTGGAGGCCTATTCAAACCTCTCTTTACTGTGCTGATAATCTGCGGGTTATTTCTTGTTCCTTACTTTTCACTTAAAAATTTCAAGTTTTCATAAGAATCCATTAGATCAGGGGTGGGCAAATGTGGCCCTTTTACAACCTGTGGACTTCAACTCCCAGAATTCCTGAGACAGCTTGGCTGTCTCAGGAATTCTGGGAGTTGAAGTCCACAGGTTGTAAAAGGGCCACATTTGCCCACCCCTGCATTAGATAAATGCTTCAAGAGATGACTTTCCACATTAGTACAGCATCATGGAACATTTTCGAAAAGCACAGAAATAACGAAAAGAAATGCCTACTGCAAAAAGGGTGACAGCCTTCACTGCGTTTTTGGCAATTTATTACCTCCCGGTCACAGGTCGGGGTCCCCTTTAGAATGTTCTAGATCAGGGGTGGGCAAATATGGTCCCTTTATGACCTGTGGACTTCAACTCCCATAATTCCTGAGCCAGCTTGGCTGTCTCAGGAATTCTGGGAGTTGAAGTCCACAGGTTGTAAAAGGGCCACAGTTGCCCACCCCTGTTCTAGATAAAGAGAAAGATTAATTAGGAGAAGCAAGCAAATTCAATAGAATCTATACTTAAGTATACATGAGAGCAATCTCTGCAATGAATAACACCCCCCCCCCTAATTTAAAAGTACACTGCATAAATTGATGGAAGGAAAGGGAAATTCTTTGTTAGATTCGCCCTTCTCATTCTCAAAGGCTTGCATGAGGCAGGAAAGAAGCAAGCTATTTCGCTGGATTAGCAAATCAGTCTATTCAGGAAACTTTCTTGGAAGGCTCTGAAAACCCAGGATATGAAACCATCCTGGATATATATTACAAACAATGGTTTGACAGATGCAGCCTTTCCTACTGGACTTCTAGATCCTTAATAGAATTGCCTTTAACCTGGTAGTTTCCATATGTGTGAGTTTCTCAAGGGGACTTTTTTCACACTTACGACCATTGCAGCATCCCCATGGTCACCTGATCAAAATTCAGATGCTTGGCAACTAACTCATATTTATGACGGTTGCAATGTCCTGCGACCTGACAAGCAAAGTCAAGGGGGAAGCCAGATTCACTTAATAACCGTGTTGCTAACTTAACAACTGGAGCAATTCGCTTAACAAACGTGGCAAGAAAAAAAAAAGTAACACGGGGCTAAATTTACTTAACAAATGTCTCGCTTAGCAACAGAAATTTTGGGCTCAAATGTGGTCGTACGTCAAGGACTACCTGATGCCTTGTGAAGTATGTGGAGTTTCTCTGCTGAGGTTGCTTCTCCTTTCTAGCAAGAATTTTTGCCAGTACACAGCACGGCTGAGTTCGGCCTGCCGTTTTTTCCTTTGCAAATGTTTCTTTAGCAAAGCCATCAGAACAACACGTTATGCACCACACACCATAAACACACACCCCACTGGGCCTGATGATGGTGCCAGGCAATGCCAGATGGGTGGGGTTCTTAGTGCTCTCTGAGCTTGGCTGATTGCTTGCAGATGTCTCATTACCCTGCTAGGTAACATAAGTGCTAGGATGGAGTAGGGTTTGCAGACAGGAGAAGGAGGAGAGAGGGAGAGGGAGGGGGGGGAGAGAGAGATATGGGAAAGGAGGGGGGCAGGAGGAAGAGGAGGAGGAGAGAGAGGGGGGAGAGAAGAAGAGGGAGATGGGAAGGAGGGAGGAGGAGGAAGAAGAAGACGAGTCCTTGGTGCTCTCTGAGCTTTGTTGTTTTCTTGCAGACATTTCATGACCCAGCTAGGTAACATCATCAGTACTAGGAAGGAGGGAGCTTTTCTCTGTGTTTTTATACAAGTGGTTTGTCCTGTCAGTATTGATGGTCATCATCACTGATGATGTTACCTAGTTGGGCAATGAAATGTCTGCAAGAAAACCATTAAGCTCAGAGAGAACCAAGGAGCCCTCATTTCAACCCTGAGCTACAAATGTTCTCTTCTATTGGAACAGCAGTCAGACGAAGGATGTTCAGAAGTTCCAAATGCTAAAATCTTAACATTGTGGTTTTTTTCCTCCCTACAAAGCTAAAGAGACAGAGAAAAAGCCAAAGAACAAGAAGGGGAATAATGTCAAATGGCTCACAGAAGATTTCTTAATTTCGGGTCCGGCCACCTTTCACTGCAACATCTGCAAAATGGCTAAGGTATGTTTTAGTTCAGCATTTTGCCTTGCTTCTTGTTGACCTTCCTTTTGGTCTTCCTCATGACCTGGAAATAGTCAAAAAAGTCAATATAACAGTGGGGATGGCATGATCCAAAGGCTGGAGTTTGGACATCCGTCCAACACAATGTCTAGGAGCAGGCAATTGCAGCTGCCATGTTGGCTTCTTTGACCCACATTCAAATATCATGTGATGGATGACATGGAACAGGGGTGTCAAACTCAATTTCATTCAGGGCTGTGCTTGACCTGGGGGTGGGGCGGTAGGGCAGGGCCAACTAGGTGGGCGTAGCCAGCTTGACACCACTCCCCAAACTGCTGGCATGTTTCCTCTTGTATTGGGTAGACCGGACCGAAGCTAGGCTGGCCCGATGTTTCCTCTTTGTATTGGGTAGGCCGGGCCATAGCTGCATTGGGTAAACCTGGCTGAAGCTGCATTGGGTAGACCGGGCCGAAGTGATGTGGGCCGGCCCCTTACATTTTCCACGACAGCCCTGAGGGACGGTTCTGACCATGTTGCGGGCCAGATGAGGGCCCTTGCGTTGGACACTCCTGACATGGAATAAGTCTTGCCTCTCTGCATGGTGTCCTTTCTCCAAATCTGGGTCAAAATCTCTTAAGGGCCCCTTGGCTTGGAGGGAGAAGGGAGTCAAAACACTGATGTATCTCTGCATGGTCTCCTTTTCTTCTCTCCAATAGGCCTTTGGTGAGCATCACATACACCCCCCCTCCACACTCTCCGCAGATCACAGACCTGATCTTGAAAGCCCTCCAAGCTCTCGTGAACGAAGACAGGACATTTGTCAGTCTGAAGGATTGCTGCTGAACTCTTTTTCTGGAGGAATGTGGGATTGACATGGAAGTAGCAAGAAAGTGCAGGGTTTGGAGCAAAAGGAATAGGAGGTTTTGTAGAAAACAAAGATGAGAATGGGTAAGACATTGGCGTATTACTGACAAGACTTCAGCTGGTTTTCGGAGAGCTAGGGCTGAATGGGAGACGACCAGGTGATCTTAGGGCAGTTGATTAAGTTGGGTAAACCTTCCAGAAAAAGGTAGGGGCAAAACCAAATAACTGTATTGTTTTCATGAAAACTACATTTGGAGAGCCAGTTTGACAATGGTTAAGGTACCAGGTTATTCAAGTCCTACCTTAAGCCCTGAAAGCCTCATGGGTGACTTTGGGCCAGTCGGTCTCTCTCTCTCTCTCTCAGCCCAACTTACCTCACAGGGTGGTGTTAGAAAAAGAGGAGGTGGAATGTACGTGTTAGATATATTCTCCGGTTTGAATTATTTGTAAAAAGAATAAAGGCAGAAAATAAGTAAGTAAGTAGTAGTAAGTAAGTAAGTAAGTAAGTAAGTTGCCTTCAGGCAACACATTGGACTTGACTGGGGATAATGGAGATGGTAGTCCAAGATAACCAGAAGGCAGCAGCTCAGACAAAACACAGAAGTGGGGAATTAGCGGCTATCCAAAATTTGAACTATGAACTTCAGGATTTCTTGCCAGTGGCTGAGGTGCTCATGAGTTCCAGATCAGTCTTTTTGGATGTTCCTTGTCTTTTCCTGGATCCATTCCAGTTGGCATTAAAAAAAAATGCCAAGCAGGATTATAAAATCCTCGGTTTGGAAGACCTCTTGAGGCTATCCAAACTCACCCTCTGCTCAGGGAAGGCCCAGTTCAACCATTTCAAACAGAAATCATCATAATCATCTTTCAACGATCCCATAATCCCTTATGGGGTGGAGTCTGGGCAACTGAATGGAGCTAGCAGAGTGTTTAATGGCCACCTGCCCTCCCCATGGTCACATGATAAAATTCAGGAGCTTGGCAACTTGTTCATATTATGACGGTTACAGCGTCCTGGACTCATGTGACACCCCTCCCCATTGCGACTTTCTGAGAAGCAAAGACAATATGGAAGCCAAGTTCATTTAACAATTGCGTTACTAATTTGACAACTGCACCAATTCGCTTAATAACTATAGGAAGAAAGATCTTAAAATGGAGCAAAGCTCACTGAACGACTGTCTCTCTGAGCAACAGAAACAGTCCCATCCCCTAGGGAGATACACCTGGTGGGACCCAGAAGAAGGGCCTTCTCCGTGGTGGCTCCCTCCCTCTGGAACCTCATTCCCCCAGAGATTAGAATGGCCCCCACTCTAACACTCTTCCGGAAGGCACTGAAGACCTGGTTCTGCCAGTGGGCATGGAGAACGCAAAGTGGGATGGAGCCCATTAAATGGCTTGTGTGAGGTGTTGTCGCTGGGGTGGGGTTTACTTTATTTTATTATTTTATTATATATTTTATTAGTTTTATTGCTTTTTATGTGATGTTTTTATATTTTTGTAAATTGCCTTGAGTCGCCATGTGTGAATAGGTGGCAATATAAATCTCCAAATTTAAATAAATAAATAAAATATCACACAGGGCTGGACAAATCAGGTGGATTTTTTTGAAAATCTAAGGCAAACTTTGACATTGTGGGGGGCAGTTTTTTTCCCAAACGGGTGGGAGTCATCAACTCCACAGCATCTCCAATAGAGACCAACGCTGGATCTCAACCGTCTCGTCTGTTTTGCCATTAGCTGCCCACAATCCTCCAGGAAATGTACCAGTCCCTCCCAAATATTGCCGAAGCAACGAAGGAAGAGACGCTCAAAGTCATCTGCCACCTGGCCACAAAACGTGTGACCAGTGTGGTCGATGTGCTTCTGAAGAGCTTGGAGGACTGCGATGGGTGTAAGATAGACCTCAAGGAGATGTGCTTCCTGTTCTCTTGTAGTCTACAGAGATTCTCAATCATTTGCAATAGTGGCAAATATCTGTAGCTCGGGTGGAGGATGAGGGTGGAGGTTGGTTCTCCGAGCTTGTGGATTGGTTTCCAAAGGTTTCATCACCAAGCTAGGTAACATTTTCAGCGGAGTTTAGGGAATGCCAGTGTTGGTGTTCTTCTGCTTGTAAGGGTTTTTGTGTGGTCAGTAGGTCTTGTGATGGGAAAGTCACGTCAGGTGAGGATCGTGTCAGGTGAGGATCTTGTGATGAGTCAGGTGAGGGTCACAGGTGAGAGTAATGACGGGTCTTGAGATAGGTTAGGTGTGGCTCATATCAGATGAGCTTGTGATGAGTCTGATGGGGAGGTCACATCAGGTGAAGGTCTTGTGTGTTAGGTGTGTGTCATGTCAGGTAAGAGTTTTGTGATGGGAAGGTCATGTCAGATAAGGGTTGCATGAGATGGGGATCTTTTGATTGGTCAGGTGTGGGTCATAGGTGAAGATCTTGTGATGAAGAGGTTGCGTGATGGTTGGGGGTCAGAGTGCCATCTCTGGTTGGCTGTGCTGTTGATTTGAATTCTGAGGGGTTCGTAGACTAGTTTTCTCAGCCATATTACAGGTAGTCTCAACTTATAACTAAGAAAGTTAAAAATCCAAAAAATCCAGTTGCCTTTTGAAAAGCACCTTTAGGATACTATGACCTGGATGGTTTGAGAAAACTAGTCTACGAACCCCTCAGAATTCAAATCAACAGCACAGCCAACCAGCGATGGCACTGACCCTCAACCAACCCACCAAAGCCCCCCAACCTTGATGGTTTCTTAGCTGGGTGGTTTTCTTACAGGCGTTTCATGGGGCATCTTCATCACAAGATCTTCACCTGTGACCCACACCCGACCAATCAAAAGATCCCCATCTCATGCAACCCTTATCTGACATGACCTTCCCATCACAAAACTCTTACCTGACATGACACACACCTAACCCAATAAATTTATTTATTTATTTATTTATTTATTTATTTATTTATTTATTTATTTATTTATTTATTTATTTGATTTTTATACCGCCCTTCTCCAACAGGACTCAGAGTGGTGAACAGCCGAGATAAAACATAACATATAAAATTTAAAAAACAGTTTAAAAGACATTAAATAATTTCAGCCCACAATTTAAAATAACCCAGTTAAAACCAATTTCAAATTAAAACCGAAAGGATGGGATCAAGCCAGCCCGGCTAGATGAAATATATATATTGTTTGAGTTATATTGTTTTATTACTTTATTGTAAACTGGCCAGTGTCAATTAGCTCAGATGGTCGGTGTAGAAATTTAATTAATTAAGACCAATAGAAGAGAATATTTGTATCTCAGGGTTGAACTGTGGAGTCCTTGGTGGCTTCTTAGCTGGGTGATTTTCTTACAGACGTTTCATGGGCCAACTAGGTGACACCATCAGTGCTAGAAGGGAGAGGGGGAGGAGGAGGGTGGGAGGAAGAGGAGGAGGACGGTGGGGTCCTTGGTGCTCTCTGAGCTTGCTGCTCTTTTTGCAGATGTTTCATGACCCAGCTAGGTAACATCATCAAGGCTAGAAAGGAATGGGGTTTCTGGAGTGGAGGAGAAGAGGAAGAGCGGGGGTTGGAGAGGACAATGAGGTCCTTGGTGCTCTATGAACTTGGTTGCTTTCTTGGAGACATTCCATTATTCAACCAAGTAATATCTTGGTTATGGAAGAAGAGGTGGAGGAGGCAAAGTGCTGTGAGGTCCTTGGTGCTTACTGAGCTTGGTGGTTTTCTTGCAGATGTTTCATGACCCAACCAGTTAACATCATACGTGGTAGAATGGGGAGGTATCTAACCTTAACTCTAAGCTTAACTGTTCTAGCACTGATCATGGGTCATGAAACATCTGCAAGAAAAAAACCCACGGTCAGACAGCATCAAGGACCCCCTCAATAAATAATCTATTAGGTCAGGAGCCCACTTAGGAATGAAGGCAATGTGAGAGATTTAGATTAGCGATCTTTGTCCCCAGTTCTCTCTTGTCCTACTCTTTGTCTCCCTTTTGTTCTGTATCTACATCCCACTGTTGTCTCAAAATTTGGGTGGGGTGTAGAATCAGTGTTGCCGAAGTCCCCCTTCTAGCAAAAATTTGTACCGTGTCTCAGACATGGGCATTCCTGACTTAGTTTTCATGGACATAAGGATTTTTTTCTCCTCGTTGGCCCACATCAAAGGAGTTCCACTTTTGGACTTTGTCATCTAAGTAATCTGGTTTGCCTCGCAATCAGGAGGCTGTGAGTTCAATCCTAGGTAGAAGCAGATATTTGTCTGATACAATGGGCACAATGAGAATGTATCTGCTGCAGAAAACTCCTCATTGGCGACAGGAAGGGCATCTGGCCAGTAAACACTCAGTTCCGTTCAGTTGCTCAGACTCCACCCCGCAAGGGATTATGGGGTTGTTAAGATGATGATGATGAATCTAAGTAATCTGGTGAGCCCAAGGTGACTCTCCTTTCATCCCGTTTCTAGGCCACAAAGGCTCTTTGTTACATCCTCGGCTTTCAAGATGCAGCCGAGGTTCTCCAGTGCAAATTTCCCTACGTGCTGATTGTGTTAATCAAACAAATTTATGTATTACTTAGAGCAAGCAAGAAGGGGTCCAGCAGTGTCTTTCCAAATCCAGAACAAATCAACCTCTTGGGGTAAGTAGAGTAGATGCAAGTTCACATCACACATCATTCCATACGCTGCAATCTTGTAAGACTCAATACTAATCAGTTAGATAATATTGGGGTCAGTGTGCGCCAAGCACAGTCAAAGGCCACTTTTGCTCCAAGTCCATATTAGCCTGTGCAAACCATGATCTCTAATTTACAGGCTGCTTTGCAAATGGATTCATCATTGCCTGCATCTCCCCAGCCAGAAAATCCCTGTTGTGTAATCACACTCTTCAGAATGTACAACCTTTGTTTCTCAACATCTTTATTTTATTGCTGCCAGTACCTCTTCCTGGGCCAGGTGTTTTTGGCTTCTGTTGTTGTTTATTTCTCCTGGAGTTAAGAAAAAAAATTGTGGGAAGCAAAATCTGGTCCAGTCCCAAGGAGTAAGACGCTGGAAATAAAACAGAGGCAGGCCCCTTGGAAAGAAGGTCTCTGTTTATTTGGTTTCCAGAAACTTCAGTGACAGCAGGAAATGCTTCTGGGATGGCTGACAAAATGGCTGGTTGAGTGGGTGGATTTTTATAGGGCTCTGGGGTTTGGTGATTGAGATGCTCCCGGGGGGTTGTGCAATGTAGTGAGCCTTGTGTCTTTGGCTATGATGAGTAAATGAGTAAATCCTCTTTTCTCCAAAAGGTCATGTCCTGTCCTTAGAGTTTGGGTGGGGGGGCTGTAAATTCTTAATCTCATCAGCTCCCATCCTAGGGGAGCTGTGGCTGAAGGCGTTTTATTTGTGAATAGGCTGGCCTAGATTTCTGTAAATGGATACTGAATGGAATGCTCTAGTTTTCTCAATAGATGCCAAAGTATCTCATTCATAAAACTTAACTGTTGGAGGGACTTGCCTGGAGTATTTTCCTGGTAGTGGAGAGATGTGAATGATTAGATACTAGGAAAGCCTCCTCTCCCCCTCCCCCTCCCCCTCCCTCCCTCTCAATGGGGGGCTGGTTTTATTGTTGATGTTGTTTGTTTTGTGTTGTGTTTCGTTGTTGCTGTACAAGCTTCCAAGTGAAACATGAAGCTATCCTGAACACCAGGGGGAGGCAGACTAGCGTCAGCGCAAAACTGATCTTGGCTTGGGGGTGGGGGGAGATCACCTGAATCATTGGCACTCACTCTTGTTCCTTTGTTTGATTTAGCAATGCCATGCAAGCTCTCAAAAGCTTGATCAAGTGTGCTGGCTATCAGGAGACATGCAATGCTTTGGAGGTGTTGGGCTGTTAGGAAATGCTATTGACCCCTGACAGTCTTTTTGAAGTCATTTTCCACCTGGTTGAGGTAAGAAATTAAAAGTTAAAAGAACTTGGTGACAAGTGGCATTGGGTGAGAGAAGGGAGGGGAGAGGCAGAGAGAGAGAAAGAGGGGGAGAGGGAGGGAGGGTGATGAAAGGAAAAGGAAAAGGAGAGAGGGAGAGGGAGAGAAAAAGAGAGGGAGGGAGACAGAAGGAGAAAGAGAAAGAGGTGGGTGGAAGAGGGGAGAGGGAGACAGAAAGAGGGAGAGGGGGAGAGGGAAAGAGGGAGAGAGATAGAGAGGCAGAAGCAGAGGGGAGGAGGGGAGGAAGATAGAAAGAGGGAGAAGGAGGGTGAGGAGAAGGAGAGGAAGAGAGGGAGAAAGAGAGGGCAAGGGGGGAGAGGGAGACAGAAAGACAAAGAGGGAGAGAGATGGAGGAGGAGAAGGAAGGAAGGGAGGGGGAGAAAGAGAGGGAAAGGAAGGGGGAAAGGAATAGAGAGAGAAGGAGATCAATAGGTGTTCAGATAGCCACTAACCTTTGCTGTGATTTCCATTAATTTGTCTAAACTTTGCAAGATCCAGTCTTCTGTAGCCCATTCAATAGCCACAAGGATATTCAATAACTGCATGGTTATTTTTATCCACATTCAATATCCACCTGGTTATTTTTGTGTTTTGGATTTGTGTTTTGAGGCTTGCTTTATTTAAGAACTGTTGTTAAACACCTGGCTTTAAATGGAGGGTGGGCAGCTGTAGAAATTCTCTAAATGGAGTAACTCATTCAATCTCTTTATTGATAATTCAGATAATGATTTCTCTAGCTTGGTGATTTTCTTCTCACTAACCAGCAGATCGTGTCTGAACTCTTCATATTTGACCTTTTAGGAGCTTGTTCACATTCTCTAAAGCAGTGGTCCCCAACCTTTTTATCGCCGCGGCCCGCTGAGCGCGCGCAGGGGTGGGGACACGGCCCAGGAGCTTTTGCGCATGGCCCATTGCGCACGGCCCAGGAGCCTTTGCGCTGCAGCGTTCATGTCCCCCGGCCGCTGCGCGGCCCGGTGCCAGGTACTCCACGGCCCGGCACCGGTCCGCGGACCGGGGGTTGGGGACCACTGCTCTAAAGAATTCGATATCATGGTTCAAGAGGCCCATGCATACCTGCACCATCCCGATATGAGGGAGAAGATCATTGGGATGGCTTTCTTCTTAGAAGTGAGGAGACATTGTGGTGCACCTCAACATTCTGGAGGTCAAGGAAAGTTGCCCCAGGGCTCACGAGAACTTTATGGTTAGAAACTAAAAGTTGTAGGTGCTCCATCACTGGAGGTCTTGAAGAAGAGACTGGACAGCCATTTCTCTGAAATGGTACAGGTTCTCCTGCTGGAGCAGAGGGTTGGAGTAGAAGACCTTCAAGATCTTCTGTTATTCTGTTAATCAGTGGAATGCCTTGCCTCCAGAAGTTGTGGGAGGGAGGGAGGGAGGAAGGAAGGAAGGAAGGAAGGAAGGAAGGAAGGACGGACAGATGAAGGCAGGAAGGAGGGAGGGGAGAAGGAAGGAAGCAAGCAAGCAGAGAGAGGAAGAAAGACGTTGCTTGTCAGAAAATCACAAAGGGATCACATGACACTGTGACCATCATAAATATAAACGAGCAAGTACCAAAATTTTGATCACGTGACTGTGAGGATGCTACAATGGTCATAAGTCTGAAAAATGGGTGTGTCCCTTTTCTATGTCCCCTTGTGACTTTCAGCAGTCAGTACACGAGGACTGTATCTTCTTTTTCTCTCCCCTTAATGGCTGAATATGGCATCTCTTAGTAGAGGCTCATGAAACTTCCTTTCTTTTGCTTTGCTAATGCCCAGTATCTCTACTCTTCTTCCTCAGCTTCTGTATCACTCTGAGGTTGGAAACATCTTTGTGATGCAAGGCATTCTAAATGATCTCCACAAATGGATGATACAACCGTACCCTCCGATTTTCCATTCGAGGTCTGGGTTACCTTCTGCAGAACCCATTCAAGGTAAGAGATAGGGTGCAGGAAGTGAGTGACTTTCAAGGTAGTAGCAGGTGTGACCTCACTCTCTGGGAAGTCTACAAGGAAGGAAGGATATAAGAAGGAGAAGAAGACAACCGCCACATAGAGGATGGACTCAGCTGGAGTGATATCTTTTCTATAATGATGGGTGCACCCCTGGAAGATCTGAAGGATGAAGTTGAAAGCAGATCCTCTTGGAGAACATCTGAAAGCAGAACAAGAAGCAATGGATGGAAACTAATCAAGGAGAGAACCAACCTAGAACTAGGGAGAAATTTCCTGACAGTGAGAACAAATTAGTCATTGGAATGACTTGCTTCCAGAAGCTGTGGTTGCTCCAAAACTGGAGGTTTTTAAGATGAGTTTGGACCAGCCATTGCTACTAGTTTTCTGAGTAGTAATGTATGGCTGTGGGAGATGGACCATAAGGAAGGCTGAGTGCCGAAGAATTGATGCTTTCAAATTGTGGTGCTGGAGAAAACTCTTGAGAGTCCTTTGGACTATAAGGAGATCCAGTCAGTCAACCCTAAAGGAAGTCAACCCTGACTCTTCTTTGGAAGGACAGATCCTAAAACTGAAGCTCAAATACTTGGCCACCTAATGAGAAGAGAGGACTCACTGGAGAAAAGACCCCAATGTTGGGAAAGACTACTGAAGGCCAAAGGAGAAGGGGGCAGCAGAGGGTGAGATGGTTTAGATGGTGTTATCAACACAGCAAACATGACTTTGGGTAAACTCTGGAGCCTGGGATGTTCTGGTCCTTGGGGTGGCAAAGAGTAGGACATGACTTAGCAACTTAACAACAATCAAACATAGTTATTTATTTTTGAATAATCTTTTCAAAAGTCAAGTGAGATAAGGAGCTGATGGACACAAAAGAGGACCAATTGTACCCAGAGACATCACACTGCCTGTATTTGTCCAAACAAAGGACTAATTTTGTTCCTTGTAGCAACCATAACAGAATTCTTGTATATCTGTAATAAAAACAGACAGGTTCATCTCCTGAAGACTGAACAGAGGGAGGGAGAGATGCTGCATTTCATGCTTCAAAAGAGGTCCTTAGATATTCCTCAAAGTATCTTAAGAAGAAGCCTGATTCTTGTGGTTGAGATCTACAGTACTTACGGGTCTACAATGTATAAGACGCTCCGGACTATAAGATGCACCTACCTTTTTTGGGGAGGAAAACAAGAAAAAAAAATCTGCCTCTGCCTCCCAGCAATTTACTTCCTTGCAGCAAACAGCCTGCTTTAGTTTTATTTTCATTTTCAGCAAAGCCTGATTATCACAAGAAAAAATAAATCTGCCTCCCAGCAATTTGCCTCCTTGCAGCAAACAGCGGAGGCCCACATGGCAATAGGCAATGGCAATCCCTGCAGCCTGAAACAGCTGAGGGTCAGGAGGCTGATTTAACCTACAATCAACTCTTGAGTTAATCAAGGCTGTGCTGAAGCTGAAAGGGGCTGTTTGCTGCTTGCTGCAAGGAGGTAAATTGCTGGGAGGCAGAGGCCAAAGGGTGGGGGCCGGCGGGTGCGTGTGGCTACATTTGGTGTATAAGACGCACCCACATTTTTACCCTCTTAGGGGGGGAAATGTGTGTCTTATACTCCGAAAAATACGGTCTCCAGTCTGTCAACGTGAGGTCTCCCCAGGTATTGCATTCCTATGGCTTTGAAGCTAGAATAGAACAGAGCTGGAAGAGACCTTGGAGGTCTTATAGTCCAGGTGTCCCCAATCTTTTGGAACTCAAGGACCACCAAGTTCATAATTTTAAATCTCGTGGACCACTAATATGAATCCAGCGCACCGCTTGGTGAAGCGCCTGGATTCCCAGTGACAGGATGCGGTCCTTCAGGCACTCTGCCTCCTCTCTTTCTCTCTCTGTCTCTCTCTCTCCCTCCCTCTCTCTCTCTCTCTCTCTTTCTCATTCTCTCTCTCTCTCTCTCTCCCTCTCTCTCTCTCCCCCACTCATTCTCTCTCATTCTCCCTCTGATTCCTTCTCTGTCTCTGTCTCTCTCATTCTCTCTTTCATTCTGTCTCTTTCTTTCTCTCTTTCATTCTGTCTCTTTCTTTCTCTCATTCTCTGTCTCTCTCATTCTCTGATTCTGTCTCTTTCTCTCATTCTTTGTCTCTCTCATTCTCTGATTCTCTCTGTCTCTTTCTTTCTCTCTCATTCTCTCTCCTGTCTATTTCTCTTTCATTCTCTGTTTCTGTCTCTGATTCTCTCTCTGTCTCTTTCTCATTCTCTTTCATTCTGTCTATTTCTCTGTCTTTCATTCTCTGTCTCTCATTCTCTCTGTCTCTTTCTTTCTTTCATTCTCTATCTCTTTCTTTCTCTCTGTCTCATTCTGATCCTCTCTCATTCTCTCATTCTTTCATTCTCTCTCTGATTCTTTCATTCTGTCTCTCTCATTCTCTCTCTGATTCTTTCATTCTGTTTCTCTCATTCTCTCTGATTCTTTCATTCTGTCTCTCTCATTCTCTCTCATTCTCTCATTCTGTCTCATTCTCTCTCTGATTTTCTCATTCTCTCTAATTCTCTCTTTTTCTCTCTTTCTCTTTCATTCTCTTTCTCTCTCCCCCTCTTTCTTTCTCTCATTCTCTCTCTCTCTCTTTCTCTCTGTCTCATTTCTCTTCCCTCTCTTTCTCTCTCTCATCTCTCTCCCCCTTTCTCTCTCTCCCACTGTTTTTCATTCTCTCTCTCTCTCTCTCTTTCATTCTCTCTCTGTCTCTCTCTCTTTCTCATTCTCTTCTCTCATTCTCTCTCTTTCTCTCATCTCATGGGCCAGCCAGTGTCTTGGGGCTGAGAGGAAGTCAAGCATCTCCCCGAGAGACTGAGGTGCGGGGAGCACCAACAAGAGCCGGAAGAAAGGGCCATGAGATCCAGCAAGAGACGAAGCTTCATTCCCGCTCTGGAATACAGAGCGAATCTCCATCCCCCGCCCTTCCCTTTCCAGGTGGGTTCACCCGACAGGAAGCTACAGCAGGTGGAAGAAAGAGCCCGGGGTTGCCGCCACTTGTTGCTTCGGCCTGCCTGCACCGCCACCCCCTCTTGTAGCATTACCTCATTCCCGCCGGCGAGGGCTGTGCTGCAAAGTTGCAAGTTGCACGAACCTCCCTCTGCAGCAGAGATTTACAGCCCCACCATGAGCTGCCTGGCCAGTCCCATTTTCCAGAGCTGTAGTCACGGGACTGGCCATTGCTCATCCTGGAGCAGCTCCTCCCCCTGGGTGCGCTGTGGACCACCAAAATTTTCTCGCGGACCACCAGTGGTACATGGACCACCAGTTGGTAACCAGTGTTCTAGTCCAGCCCCCTATTCAAGCAGGAAAATCTATGCTATTTCAGATAAGTGACTATCTAGTGTCTTTTGGAAAACCTCCAGCGATGGAGTGTTTTGCTTCAAGTGAAGATGCCTCTTCAAACTTCTGGGATGAAGAAGCAACTGAGCTAACCTAAAAAACCATCCAGCTTCTTCATTTCCAGGTATTTTCTGAAGATCTCCCCTTGCAGAATTGAAGATTGTGAAGAACGTCCACCTGGGATACTGGCTGTTATGGTTATCTTTATTTATGCATCTTATCCAGATTTCTCATAATTATAACCAACCCCAAAGAACATACAAGGAACAGTTACAGGAATTGGGAATGTCTAGTCTAGAGAAAAGAAGGAGTAGGGGTGCTGATAAAACCTGTTCCAATATTTGAGGGGCTCCTACAAAGATGAGAGGGTCAAATTGTTTTCCAAAACACCAAAAGGCAAGACAAGAAACAATGGATGGAAACTAACAAAGGCGACAAACAACCTGGAACTAAGGAGAAATGTCCTAATGGTGAGAGCAATCAGGCAATGGAACAATTTGCCTTCAAAAGTCGTGGGTGCTCCATCACTGCAGGTTTTCAAAAAGAGCCTGGAAAATCATTATCTGGTCTCCTGCTTGAGAAGGGGTTGGACTAGAAGACCTCCAAGGTCCCTTCCAACTCTATTCCATGTTGTAAGTGCACATGTTTATGTGCTTGAAATGACGCATATTATGGTGTGTTTAACTGTGTAAGCTGAAGTGTTTCCCTTCGGTTTGCTTTAGCTGGAGGCAAACCATATGATGAACAATTGGGGAACTAGGTAGTTCTAGTCTAACAAAAAAAAAGGGGGGGGTGCGTAGGTTGACATATGTCTTTTAATATTTGAGTGGGTCCACCTATTTTCCAAAGCAACCAAGGAGAAATTCCCTGATAGTGAGAACAATTAACTAGTGGAACGACTTGCCTCCAGAAGTTGTGAATGCTCCAGCATTGGAGATTTTCAAGAAGAGACTAGACAGCCATTTCTCCAGAATAGTATAGGGTCTCCTGCTTGAGCAGCAGATTGGACTAGAAGATCACTAAGTTCCTTTTCAATCCTGTTATTCTATTTTCTGTGGGTTCCTATGTGTTTGTTATTATTGCTACTAGACTAGGAGAACTCCAGTGACCTTGTTTAATTGCTTGTTTCTTTCCCTGCTTCCTCCAGATGAAGTTTTTAAAGCCGTTTTTAATTCCTTCGATAAACTGTGCTAGTCAAGTAGACAAGACTGGGGTGAAAGAATCGCTGAGGACACTTCAGTTCATGTTCTGACAGCTGGATGAGGAGAAATATGGATACAAGACAGTCAAACTTCTTCCGTTGTTCTTGAAATATTTTCATGATGTAAGTCAAACAAATCACTGGTTCTCTCTCTCTCTCTCTCATCTCTAATTTTATCAGAAATGCTTTGAAATACTTCAGCAACAACTGTGTTATGGTAATATAAAATAGTGTGTAAGCTTCTAGATGATCCTTGAGCCCTTCTAGAGAGCTGGAGAAGTGCCAGATGAGGTGGAAGAGAATGAAGATTGCCACTCTCTTCAGCTCCACCATCAGTCTAGAAAATCTAGAATATCATGCACCATATCGAGAAAAAAAACCAATTACTCTCCATATCTATTAGTTGCTTTATCTCAGACGTTTTAAGATGTGTGGACTTCAACTCTGTTGACTGGAGAACTCCAGGAGTTGAAGTCCCCACATCTTAAAGCTGCTAAGATTGAAAAACAGCACCCTCGATCATACCATAAAGGTTGATCTGCAAGCATTTTACTACAAGTGATGTGGATGTTTGAGAGTCACCAAACTTTTAACCAAATGGATATGACAGTATTTTGTAAATACCGGAAGGAGGTCATTTGAGCCATGCTCTCCTCAATTTGTGGGACACAAAACAGTCGAGTTAAGTTATAGGAGGATAGAAAAGAAAGCAAGACCAGGGGTGTTTATGGAGGAGAGTTCACTACCGTTGGGTGGCCTCCAAGATCTCCCAAAATTCAAAGTTCAGTATTGAGCTACATAGATTTCCTGCTATTGGAGTGACAAACCTGTTTCTTTTCCTTCTTAGGAAGACCCTGAACTGCAACATGTGGCCATGAACATTTTTGGGATGATATTGAAAAGGGTGAAGGAGCTTCACAAAAGTTATTTTAAAGAAAGCATCCCGCAGAGCCTTGTTCCACTAATAATTCTGCTGGCAGATGGACGGAGCAAAGAAGTGAGCTGAACGACTGGGTAAGGATTTGAGGATTAGAAATGGCAGTTTGTGGAAAAAAGAAATAATGATGTCACTTGAGAGCTGGGGGATGGCGTGGCAAAATATAAATGCACTTATAAGTTCAGAAGTCATTTCTTTATCCTCTTTTTTTCCCTTTTCTTTTTCTGTTTTCTTTTTTCACTATCTACTATTTTTCCTTATTTTCCTTTATAGTTTTAACTTGGATAAAACTGTCTTTTATTACATAAATGTATCTGTCTATACTATACTGTACTGTACTATACTATACTATATATCATATATCATATATCATATATCATATCAAATGCCATATACCTTATACCTTATACTATACTATACTAATACTAATACTAATACTAATACTAATACTAATACTAATACTAATACTAATACTATAATGTACAATAATATACTATAATAGTGCTACCCCCATAAAGGCTGCTGGAGTACAGGTTCTCCTGGCCCTTTTTGGTATGGCCACCGGTCCATATTGGTCCCTCCCTCAGGCACCTCTACTGGCCTGGGTCATGGTGGTCAGTCTCCTCTCAGCAGGCAGGTCACGTGGTGGGGTGATGGTCAGTCTTTTCCCAGCTGGCAGATCACATGAGATGGTATTCATATGGCTGGTCAGCTCTTCTTTCTTTCTCTCTCCTCTCTCCCTTTCTTGAATTTCCTGCTGAACTCTTCTTCCATTGCCTCTGCACCTTTGATTATCTATTTAGTAAAGGAGTTCATGCTACTCATTTTCCGAACAATCCGTAGTAATAATAATCAGTGCTTACGAAGAAGCAGCTTATATTCTGGGAAAGGCAGAAGGTAGGGAAAATGACCACAGGTAGGAAGGTGGATGGTTCAGGTGCAGCCAGCGATGGGTTCACCTTGGAAAGGACCAGGTTGGGGGAGAAATTATCCTGGAGAGGGTCCCACAGGTGCTTTTTCTGAAGTTCTGAAGAAGCTTCTTGGATGAGAAGCGAAATGTCTTCAAAGAAAAACCAGAAAGCCCAGTTGCCTCTTGAAAAAAACACCTTTGGGACAACCATGACTTGGATGTCTGAGAATTTCCATAGACGTCCTGGAGAAGGAAGAGTTGGCTCTGACTGAGTGCTCCATCAACCAAGCAAGCTTCCAGGCAAGGTCTTCCTGGCTTGCCTACACCCTTCTGCATTACTCCTGCTTCAGGGAAGCTCTCGCTGGTCAAAATTGAGACTGATATTTAAGTTGCTAAGCAAGAAACGCCTCAAGCAAGTTAAATGGCAGCAGCTCCATCCTCTTGCTTGGGTGGATGCAAATGAGCGGTGGTTAAGTCAGCACCAGTTGGAAAGAGGAACGCTTGGAATGGCCGCCACGACCTCTGTGGCCAACTCAACTTCACTCCTACCCAGTCACATGACCCCCCCCCCCCAGCCATGCCTACCAAGGTTTTGTGGATCCCGTTTTGTGGGAAATGCCTCCCCTTCTCTTCCCCCTCCCTCCCCTTCCCTCCCTCCCTCCCTCTCATTTCTATTTTTCTTTTTCCTCCCTCTTTCTGCCTGCCTGCCTTTCTCCTTATTCTCTCATTTGTTTCCCTCTTTCTCCTCTCATTCTCTTCCTCTAGCTCTCTCCCCTTCCATTTGTTTCTCTCTTTTTCCTCTCTCATTCTCTCCCTCATTTCTTTTTCCCCTTTTCTCTTATTTCTCTCGTTCTCTTCCTCTCATTTGTTTTTGTTTTTCCTCTTTCTTTCTTTCTTTCTTTCTTTCTTTCTTTCTTTCTTTCTTTCTTTCTTTCTTTCTTTCTTTCTCTGTCCTTCCTTCCTTCTCCCTTCTCTCTCTCATTTGTTTCTCTCTCTTTCCTCTCATTCTGTCCCTCCATCATTTTCTCATTTCTCTCTTTTTCTCCCCCCCCCTCCTCTCGTTCTCTCCCTGTTTTTCTCTTTTTCCTCTGGTGTTTGACTTGTCCAGTCGGAAGGATACCTTCCCCCACTAATATGAACAATTTTTCATTTTCAGAGCTATGTGGGTATGCAAAATGGATTCCTTTCCTGGGAGACAGATTCCTCACTTATTTAAATATCTATTTTCAGAAAAGGAGCCTGCGAAGAAGTTTTACGCTGCATTTTTTGCCGAGTTACGTTTTTCACAAATAGCTAACTATGGAGAAAGTTGAGGGATGATTGGCCTGGCGATGCAATGCTGATGACTACTTATTTCCCTTGAAAATAGGTAGGGTATATGGGAAGTGACCAGACTTAGCAGATAAAGGCTTTTTAGTATTCTCAGTTTATTTTGTGTAAATATAGAGCTGCTATGTAAGAATTTAACAAAGAGCTAGAAAAGGAGGGTAGAGATGTGAGGAGAAGCTATAGTGGAGAAATTCATACATTTAAGGCTGCATACTTTTGTTCTACATTTTTATCCCAACTTTGCTTATTCCAACTGAATCAAACAAAGCCAAGAAAACACGGAGGAAATGCATGGAAGGACAGGAAGAAGGAACGTTTTCATAAACAACAGTTGGGCTGAAACAACTACGGGTTGTCCTTAACAAACAAATGTAATGGAACCTGCCCATTATGACTGTATGGCATAATGGTTGTAAAATCACACGAACAACCAGATTTTATGACTTTTTTTGTGGAGGTTGTTAAGCAAGTCACCACTGTTAAGCAAAGTAATTGGTTTACTATGGGTGTGGTTTTGCCATAAGCCAGAAGTAAGTGCTGGTTTTCAGCAAAACCATTGTAAAATGCAGTCAGGTGTGGCCAAGCATGCAGGTATGGAGAGTTGGTTACCTGACTTCACCTTTCAGGCATTCAGATGACTTGTAAGTGTGAGAGAAAAATTCCCTCCCAGTTGCTGTGCCTATTAATGACCTTCAGCTTAGATAATTGAATAAGCCAATCAGAGTGCAGCTCTTAGCTTTGAATTTCCCGGGCTTTTCTAATTGCTACTAAGACAGTATATAAACAGCTGCTTGCTACCAGGCAACCAGGCAAATCAGATGATGAGATTGAGAGTATCCAAGGAAAGAGGGATTGCAATTACAATTGTGAATATGATTCAAAATGTAAGAAGTGTGTGAGCTTTAATTTGGAGCAAGGCGATGAAAGGCCCGATGCAATTGCCAATGCAATTTCTATTGGCAAGCCACTACATGATGAGTGTGCTCACCTCATGCATCGCAGAATGGGCCATATGAGTTTCCCTGTGGTGCAGAAAGCGCCTGAATGCTCCAAAGGGATTAGAATTAAAGATTGTAATATTTTTATGGATTGTGCCGTTTGCAGGAGTGCGAAATCCAAAGTGAGGCCAGCGTCCAGGAAATCAGAGAGGCAGTCTGAAGGCATATTCCAGTTGATACACATGGACTTGGTAGGTCCATTGAAACCCTCCATTGGTAAGAATCGTTACTTCTTGACCATTGTTGATGACCATAGCAGGTTCAGATTTGTCTATCTTCTCAAATCCAAGGATCAGGCCTTATCCAAATTTAAGGAATTCTGCAGTCTGATTGAGAATCAGCACAAGGTCAACAGCCAGAAGATCTTGACCGACAGAGGAACTGAGTTTAATTCAGCTCAGTTCTCTGGTTGGCTGAAGGAGAAGGGCATAATCCATTTGCGTACTGCCCCTTACTCCGCTTTTCAGAACGGGGTGGTAGAGAGGAGGTGTACTGCAGGCAATGATGGGGGGCGCCCTTGAGGATGCTGACCTAGATTTCTCATATTGGGCAGAAGCTGCTTTGTATGCAAACTACACTCTCAACCAGGTATGGTCCAGTGTGGTGCAAAAGACCCCATATGAGGTAGTGTATGGCCATAAGCCAAGATTAACGCATCTTCATGTATTTGGAATGATGGCCGATGTCCACATCCCCAAGGAACTTAGAAAAAAGTGAGATAAAGTAAACCTCCATAACAGTAAGGCTTCTACTCTATAAGAGTGGTGCTTCTCTGATTTGCAAGAATCAAAGATAGATTGCAAGTTATTCTCCGCTATTGTTCTGTTCAGTTGATATGGTAGGAAGCCCATTAAGAAAGGCAGAGACTTTTTCTTTTCTTTTTTTTTCCCATACACTTTATTAAGCTTTTATTACATTAAAAACATAAAAAATTATTTCACTCAACAACAGCTATTTGTGGTGTTTTTATAACGATAATTCGTGCATTATTTACAAAAATTAAATTGTGTGTATTTGCATTCTTATTTTATCTATTACTTATACTTAATAACTATCTTTATCTCTGTTCTATCCAGTTATACCACTGTTCCCACACATTGTAAAATATCGATGCCTCTTTATCTTTTAGACTCAGCGTTAATTTATCCATTTCTGCGCAATTCATGACCTTTTGTATGACCAGTTTCTCTGCGGGTGTGCATGGCTGTTTCCAACATTGAGCGTAGGCAATCCTGGCAGCAGTTAATACGTGTAGTACTAGATACTGTATTTTGTGCCCTTCACATATATATATATTTTTTGAAGATCCCCAATAGGAAGAGTTCTGGTTCTAAGTCTAATTGTTCGTTAGTAATTTCCTGTAGCCAATCTTTAATTTTTAGCCAATATTTGGGAATGGCAGGGACTTTTTCATGGAAAAAATGTATTCTGCCCTTAAGGAGAGAAACGATATCCTCCCAGTGTATGGCATTGGAGGACTCTGCAATGCAGTCCACAGTCTCCCTCCAAAGCGAAGCTTTGATAGGTACTAATGAAGTACACAATGGACCACTGTATAGTAATGTCACCATTACAGGTAATCCTCAATTTACAACCCCAATTGAGCCCAAAATTTATGTTGCTAGGTGAGTTTTGCCCCATTTTACGACTTTTCTTGCCCCATTTGTTAAGTGAATCACTGCAGTTGTCAAATTAGTAACACAGTTATTAAGTGAATCTGGATTCCCCATTGACTTTGCTTGTCAGAAGGTTGCAAACGGTGATCCCTGACCCCCGGACATGCAACCGTCGTAAATATGAACCAGTTGTCAAGCCTCTGAATGTAAACCACGCAAACATGGGGATACTGCAAAGGGCCCTAAGTGTGAGAAATGGTCATAAGTGCCGTTGTAACTTCAGTCACTAAATGGAACTGTTGTAAATCAAGGACTACTTGTATCAAATGAATTTGCTTTCAGGTTTTATGACTTAAAACTTTTTTTACGGCCTTATGTGTATATTTCATTCATTAGAATTAAGCAGTGAGGCAAGGTAATAAATTGGGTTTTTTTATTCCTTTCAGGTCAAAAAAGAAGAGGAGCTGAAGCTTTGCCTGAAGTTTCTAAGTGATCCACGTTCCAATATCAGGCAGCCCTCTTTGCAAGCCTCGCAGCTGCTCTTTACTCTCCCTGCGCTGCTCGCGAATGACAGTGGGGGGATCAGAGGGGTTGGGGGGGCTGACAACCCTCGCAGGTCCCCTTTACTCCCATTGAGCTGCGCATGAATGGTGGTGGGTGGGGCAATTGCAGAGTTTGGGGGTGCCCAACAGCCCTCCTTGCAATCCTTGCAGCTCGTTTACTCTCCTGAGTTGTTTGCCGAGTTCTGGCAGGTGAGGCAAATGCGGGGTTGGGAGGGGTCTGGCAGCCCTCTTTGGAAGCCTCACAGCTCCTCTTTACACCCCCTGTGCTGCGTGTGAATGGCGACAGGGAGGGCCTGGTAACCCTCCCACTCCCAAGCAACCAGAGGACTGGAGAAGAGCTGTTGTGCTTCCAATCTATAAAAAAGGGGGGCACTTGGAAAACTACAGACCAATCAGTGTGACATCAATACCAATTCCAAAATCCTGGAAAAGATAACCAAGGAATGCATTTGTGAGCATCTAAAAATGAACAAGGCAATTAAATGGATTTGTCAAAAACAGATCATGCCAGAGAAACCTTATTGCAGATACTTGTATACGAGTAGCATGTAATAAACTTTTAAGTGTTTTGAACTCAACTCCCGTGCTTGGTTAATTGTGCCTGACAAATGGCTGTGGTCATAGTTTACTTAGACCTTGGAAAAGTAGTTGAGAAAATAGGCCACAGCTTACTTCTTGATAATTCACAGTAGATTCACAGCTGGTGACCAAATGCACTCAGCGGGTAGTCCTCAATGGGACTACTACTATAAGTAGTAGTACTTAAAGGGGAACATGCAGCGGGCTACCTCAGCGGGTTCTGTCTTAGGCCCAATCCTCTTCAACTTCATAAATGATCTAGAGGAGGGGATAGAAAGGGAACTCATCAAATCCGCAGACAACACCAAGGTGGGGGGGGGGAAGAACTAAAACTTTTAAACGACAGACTCAAGCTTCAGAAGTTCCTTTATAGACTTGAATTGAATAAAACTTTATTACGGTCCTCGACCAGCAATAGACATACAATAAATGAAAAATAATACTGACACTAATCATGAATAGTAACATCCCTGTTATGAAAATACATAATCTCAAATCGTTAGGGTCATTCCCCAATTTACATGAGTGGAGAGCTGATAAGTATGTGAGTAAATGTATTTTTCCAATAATTGTTATAGATATCTCCAAAAAAAATTGGCACCAGTTGACATCTATAATTCTGTAACCAGTTTTTTTTTCTTGTGGACATTGCAGCGACACAGAATTTTGCCACTGCCCGCGTGGTAGCCGGATTTGAGTCTTGGAGGAGAAAGCCTACATAAAAGTCATCTGTCTTCCCTGAGTAAGGGGAGTATATATATTGACCTACATACTCTGTATAACTCACAGTACAGTAAAACATGTGCTGAGGGGAGAATATTAAATCTGGCTCTGAAGAAAGCTATTCTTTGTTTTGGGAAGATCAGATCATTTAGATACGTTGCTGATTCCCACACACTTACTTTATAGACTTGAACACTGGGCCCTATCTGGCAAAATGCAGTTTTATTGGTGAGAAAAGTAAGATCCTATATTTGGCCAAGAAAACCCAAATGCACAGATATAGATAGAATGTGGCTCAATAGACCGATGGGGGTATTGAACAGCTGTGCCATTCACAAGCAGTATCTGGTGCTTCGTGAATCAACAGCAGGACAACTGGGTGGTTGTACTAGCGATGGCTAAGTTTGCAAACAACAACTCGCAACGCACCTCCACCCAAGTGACTCCATGCATCTCCAGTTACGGTTTTCACCCATGCCTTTCCCTTTCCCATTGGACCCTCCTGTGCCCGCATATTCCTTCAAGAGCTTTGGGCTGTGCACCAATGTCAACTTGACAAGGCCAAGGAGGACTACAAGAAGTTTGCTGACTCACCGCAGACATTCCGCCACTAGCCGTGCAGGATTGGCTTTCCACGCAGCACCTCCCTTTGAGTTGGCCGTCCCAAAGATGGGACCACTGTTATCTGGTCCCATTTCTGGTGAAAGCCATGATCAACCTTGTTGTCTTCTAGCTAAGTTTGCCTTGAAGCATGAGGATCCACCTGGTGTTCCACCGGTCCTTGCTATTGGTGCTTCTGCCAGCGGTCATCGTCCTGCTGCACGGCCACTGGGTCCCATGGCCACAAGGACCTCCGGAGTATGAGGTGGACACCATTCGAGAATCACATTGGATGAGGGGATGCTTAAATCCAGTACCTGGTGGCTTGAAGGGCTATGGACTTTATATGGGTGGATGTTTTGATCACCAGAAACATTGGTGCCTTTTGAGGGAAGTGTGTTTCAAAACATTGTAAAATGGCAACTGCAAAGGATTTGCCATTTTATAAAAGCTTTACAATTAATTGTATTATTTTAAATGTTATTCTTCTTTTGGTAGACATTTACAATAACATTAGCTTGAAACAAATGTCAACAGGTCTATTATTATTATTACTACAGCAAGTAATGCAGACAATTATTGAAAGCCCTGCTAATACAGCAAATCGCTATTACAAATTACAAATTAATTGCTGCTTTGAATCAGTCCTGAAAGTATCCGATTATTTTCCCTTTCCAGCTTTGGAATAAGACGGAAAGTGTTTTAGTACAGCGTTATTTCAAAAATGTTTAATGTGAGCCAAAATAAAGTTACTGAATATATGCGGAGGTTTATGCAGAGCCTTTTTGCACCATTACAGAAGAAAAAGCTAGGCAATTGGTTGTGTTGCTACAAAAGCTATACAGGCAATTAGTGCTATATTTGAAAACCAAACAGAATTCTTATTTTCTTTTTATTGTATCTGTGCGCCTGGATCACTGAAAGAACAACAACTGCATAAAGATTTTTGCTTATTTAAAAAAAAAAATTTGCTACCAGATTGGATAAAAGCTGTAACCACAATACCCCCACTTGAATTAATATTGCCAACTTACTATGTCCGAATCCTCTCCATAATCAATCCTGGGGTAGTAAGAGAACAATTCAAGCCAGGGGTGAAATTCAGCAGATTCTGACAGGTTCTGGAGAACCGGTAGCGGAAAAATTTGAGTAGTTCGGAGAACCGGCAAGTACCACCTCTGGCTGGCCCCAGGAGCGGGGAGGGAATGGAGATTTTGCAATATCCTTCCCCCAAGAGTGGGGAGGGAATGGGGATTTTGCAGTATCCTTCCCCTGGAGTGGGGTGGGAATGGAGATTTTACAGTATCCTTCCCCTACTACACCCACCAAGCCACATCACGCCCACAGAACCAGTAGTAAAAAAAAATTTGAATTCCACCACTGATTCAAGCCATAGTTCACCCTTCAAAAGATTCCCAAAACAGACTATTAGCTGCCCATGTACTGTATGTATATTTGGAGAAAGCAATTGCAATGTTAGGGAACAATTCTGCTTTACGTTGAGAAATAGCAACAGGTAAACTTTTATTATCCTAGAAGATGCCTCCGTGACACCATGTACAGGTAATCCTCAATTTACAACCACAATTGAGCCCCAGAGTTTTATTGCTAAGTCAGACAGTTGTTAAGTAAGCTTTACCCCATCTTATGACCTTTCTTGCCACTGTTGTTAACTGAATCACTGCAGTTCTTAAACAAGTAACACGATTGTTAGGTGAAACTGGCTTCCCCATTGACTTTGCCTGTTAGGGGTCACGAAAGGTGATCGCATAGCTCTGGGACGCTGCAACCGTCATAAATATGAGTCGGTTCCTAAGCATCTGAATTTTGATCACATGACCTTGGGGATGCCGCAATGAGAAATGGTCATGTTACTTTTTTTCAGTGCCGTTGTAACTTCAAACGGTACACTAAATGAACGGTTGTAAGTTGAGGACTACTAGTATGGCATTCTTCATTATTCTCTGGGTCATGGATTGCAACGCATGTGCCGCTGCAGTTTTTCGTACTACCTTTTCAAGTACTGCCACGTATTTGCACTATCTATTGGAGGTTTCGGTAGTCACAGATCAATGTACCTTATCAATATTATCATCATTATTACGTTTAGCTGTTAAATGGCCTAAAGACTATTTGATCCAGCCATTCTGGTTACTCTCAATTAAACATCTGTATTTCTTATTTACACCGAGTCTTGTTTTTAAACGATATGTTTTATATTACGATGATAATATGCTTGTTCTGCACCGATTCTACAATGTGGGGAGGAAACTAAGAAAGAATGAGAAATAACTGATTTAAATAATACAGCTGAATCTGAACAGACGACTGAAACATCCCATTCTGTTCAATGGAGGGAACCCAGTGGGGTCCATCTTATAAAAATCAGATGGACTAGAGACTAGGGATCATGGTTTTTTTTTTTTAAAAAAAAATGCTGTTTGGTTATTAGCAATGTTTTTCTTCTCTTTTCTTTTCTGTTTTAGAAAAAATAATACTTCTGCAGAAGGTTTATCACGAAACATTAGAAACTGGTTGATTCTTGTGAATGAGAAGTGGAAGAAGTTTAGCAGAACTGCTAAAGAAACCAGGCAAAAATAACTGCAAAATATTTGTTTGTAACTCAGAAGCCCCTTTGGTACCAAGTATTTACACATTCTTTGACCCTGCCCTATTGCTCATCGTCTGCAACCTGTAACATGGACAATTCATCAAATGCCTTCAGCTTCTTCAACCTTTTCATTGTTCCGTCGTCCTCAGTCAATTGCTTTTGGTCAGTCGGTGCAGCGCCGACGAATCAACGAATCAAAAATGTGTGCAGGTAGATTTCTCTTTCAATCCATTCGAGAAAGTGAGTCACGTTACTATAAACTCCAGGACCCAAAACTTTGGAAAAACAGACGGAGCCCCAAGAAGTCAAGCCAAATAGCGTCCAGCGTCCAGCCGATTTCTCGCACACAAGTGGACCTCCACTGTCACCCTGTAAGAAGATGGACAATATTAAGGGTTGAGAAAAAGGTGGAATGTCTGTTATGTTGACAAACACAAGCACAAAACTGTTCCACAACAATTATGTGCCTCTCTGGAATGACATTTAAAAAATGACATGTTTAAGAT